AGGGTCCCACATGGCGCAGCAGACCTCTCCTGTTTCGCCCACTGCTCCCCTCAGCAGTGTACTTTGTCAGTCTGCCTGTTCTGTTCCCTGCTCTGGCTCTGGTGAATCCTCTCACACTCCCGTGCTTCTGACTGTACCCAGTGTTTGTATAAATAAATCTTAAAAAAAAAAAAGGATGAATGGAAGAAACTGAGTATTACCATAGAGACTGCACAAGCATCATATATAGAAACATTTATTGTTAGTCCTCTAAAAAGTCAGAATAAGGATATGAATATTATAGAGACCAACAGTATAGTTGAATAAAAGAAGTGTCCCCATGCTCAGAACAGGTCTAAAAACAAAATGTTTCCCACATTCAGGATAAATCTTGCTAAATAATTTACCTAAACTTATCTTAATTGTCTCTGTGAATTTAGAAAGATCATCTGCTTAGAATGAAGAGTAAGGACAATCTGGGTTGATTGAAGAATCTGGAAATATGTGGACATAAACTGTGGAAAATCTGATATGGACTTAACCAAAAAAGAATAACTTCCTCACCTTGTAACGTCCCTTAAACAGGAGTTAAAATGAACCAATTTGGGGTTGACGAAGAAAAGACACAGTTACATCATTTGGTCCAGCTAAATTCCACAGTGAGAAAGGCAAGAGGATATCAAAGGTGAAGTGCAGACTGGGCTCTGGTTGGTCAGAGGATGAGAGATTTGGGCACTGGGATAGGGGCTTTGCTGCCCAAGATGAGGTGTCAGTAAAGAGAAGAGAACGTGGGAAAAATGGGATGGCAAAGGAACCACTGTGGGTGGTGGTGAATGTCTGGAATTATTGGGAGGACAAGATGCCATGGTTGAAAAAAGGAGAATGTGAAACTCTCAGCTTTTTCTTTGGGAGCAATTCTTAGTGAGGAGAAAGCCCAGTGGGTGGACCAATGGACTCCCAAAGGGAAGAAGAACAGGTTGGGGTCATGTGAAAGTCAAACGTGGAGACGTAGAATGAAGCCCTGAATGATGACAGCTGATTTACTTGTAGAGAGAAAAGCCTTCATTACTTCAGACTCCCAAGGAGAGCAGAATGTTCAGGAAGTTAATAAGCACCAGCAATGGGGAGAGGTAACACGAATGAGGGATGTACACTTAGAAAGTTGGCAATGGTGAAAGGATAACAGTTTACAAGCAGTTCTGAACAGGCTGTGAGCCACAGCAGAGAAGAGCACAGAGTGTCTCCATAGGACCAAATATTAACATTCCATTCCTGACCTTTGCAGATCAAATACTGTTCATTAACTTCCATTCTTGAATAGAATAACTTACAAAAACAAGTCACACACACACAAACACCCACACACTGTAATGCAATCAAACAAAGATGACAAAAACTAAGCTTAACAGACAACTAATATGTGCCAAATACTGTGAATCCAACAAAAATAAATCCTGAGGGCCATATGAGTTTACAGACTTCTAGACATGTACTTTCACTGTTGCGTGCATAGCAAAAGGTGATGAGAACATAGGTTAGGTCTGGAAAAGGTTTTAGGATTGCATTTTACTAGGTCTGCCCAACTCCTTTTCTAAGAGTTCACTTCCAAGCCATTGTCTTGTATTGGCTTCCTGCTAATTCTTACTCTAGTGAGGAGGAGGTGGTATGTGAGCTAATTAATTTAAATTGCCACTGATTTTCTGAAAGGGGGGGGAGCTCATTAAAAGATTATTAATGGCCAGAAAGCATTTCAGGTAAGCAAAGTTAGTACCTCACATATTTGTGGTAAGGGGACTCTTGCCCAGAACTTCTCATCCCTTCCCTCCAGCTGGAGTTGGAGGGGTGAGCTGGCACAAAACTCTTCAGCCCTCAGAAATAATTTTATTCATACTTTATAAGGTTCACACTTCATAGGAAGATGAAGCCTGTAGACCTGAACCCAGGAGAGAGATTAAATAATATCAAATAGTTCAGGTATTTTGAAACTGTTAAACAGAAATAAGAGATGCAGCTATGACTCAAGATAGACAAGATGTTACTCCCAGCCTAAGCACTTGATCATCAAGAGACCTAAGGATTTCCAAAAGCTCTTCTTGTATCAAGTCAAAATGGAAATACAAAAAACAACTACCACACAGGCACCCAATAAATATTTGCTCTAGATCACCTAGAGACTGAAAACCATTGATTATATAAATTTTAGAAAGAAAAATATCTGCTTATACAAATATGCCAAAAACTAGAAAAGTAATGGATATTTAAGAAAAGTTGGTTGGGTAATTAGGTGATTTTAAAAAAATCTGTTGTATATCCTAGCAAGTAGAAACTAAGCAACTTCCTGGCAAATCTGACATACAGAAATCATTCTGAAAGACTACTTTCCTCCAAGTGTTTTTTCCATCAATAATACTTTTTGGCTTGGTTTATCACTTTATGTTTCCATTTCTTTTTACTTGGAGAGATCCACTCTTCATGATCATTTGATTTTTATCTATTTTTGAAAAAAAAGTTTTATTAGAGTTTTTTTTTTGATACATATGTTGTTTTAAATCAACCTGTAAAAAAAAACTCTACTCCCCCACCTAAATTTATATTAATTATTAGTAAATGCAATCTACATATGTAAATACAGGATTTAATTTCCCTTCTATAGTTTCTGAAAAAGTCATACAATATCCTAATTTATCAAAAATGATATTAACTAAAGATTTCATTTTTTAAAAATTTTCATGACAAAATTGTTAACATTTGGTCACAAAAATATTTTGATGCAGGCCTACTGGAAATAATTTTAATTATCACTTCTTTAGTATTTAGTACAAAATAGTAATTAAAAGTTTTCAAAATGACCCATTGAAACTAGATGACTTAAGCTATAGTTATGAAACATTAAGTAAACATTGTGATGCTTTCTACATTTCTTTGTCTTTCAGTGTCACCAGGTAAAAATAAAATATCTTTTATTCCCTTCTGCATTCTCTAAATGACAGAAATCTATCTCAGACATGTTATTTTATACCTGAAATCCAGAAACAGGGCCTTTGAGGGGTAAATGGTAGTCACACACTATAGAACAAACACTACAACACATACTGCATATTTCTGCTGAGTTTCAAAGAGAGGAAAACATAATTTTTATTTTGTTTACATTACTAGATGAAGTACAGTAATATACAGAATGTACCTGTCCATACATTGCAATTTCTACTAAATAAACTTCACCTAAGTTTTCTAATTAATACATTTAAAAACATACAAGTGGATCTAGTTTAAATGAAATGTTAATTACTGTAACGCTAGTTATTCTAGATTTTCCCTAGTATTCTATGTCTCCAGGCTTTATGTGAAGAGCCAGTTGTTCTGATAAGAAAAAGTGTAGCTTATATGTTTCAATTCCCTGGTTCTTATTTTTCCAGTGGGTCACATAACCTGTTGGGTCTCCTTTGGCTATTTAGCAAGGCTATCTGTCTAAAAATGCAGAAGGTCAAATGTTTAGATACGATATCAGGGACTTCACAGGATATGAAGGATCCTGACCTCTTTGTTTAATAACAGCCCAGAGTGTAGACGACACAGACAACCTTCCCTTCAAGAGTAATAAGGCTTATATGGCTTATTGGCAAATTCACGTTTCCTTTGGAATTTTAGACACATTGTAATATTGTTGCTACTGATTTTTTTACATTCTTCATAATGTAGTGCTTGAAATAACCACTCCCGAAGAAAACAATAGTCATTTTAGGAAAAGCAGCAGATTACTTCTACACTATGAACCAAGACTCTATCATTGTTTATCCACGTATATCCGGAGGGTTAGCGATGTTCCCCCCAAGACTCCTTCTAGCAAGGGGGCAGGCATGTAGTGAAATCACTATCAGAGGGCTGACCTGAAAAATCTCTACTGCTATGTTGTTAATGAAACACTAATAATAATAATAATAATAATAATAATAATAATAATCCACATATACATATATATGATGTGTTCACTTTAAAACTAATAGGGGTTTCCATACGTCAAAAACCAAGAGGCCTTCGACCAGCCACTATTAAGTGAGGTACAACCTGATTTCCTTCGGAAGATGTAAACTCTTCCACTGCAAAATGAAGAGAAATCAGCAAAAGGAGGCACGAAATCCACAACCTGAAATCACATGACCGCTCTGCCACGCAGCCCTCCCCCAGGGTGACCCGAGGCTGCTCAGCCTCCTAGTCCGGGCTGCAGGCATCGACCCGACTCGGGGGACGGTGGGAACCCCCTGGTCGCCGATCCCCAAAGTGCCACAGTCAAAATGAAAACAGGAATTAGGCTGCCAAGCAAAAAGTCACACGCACGCACGCGCACGCACACTCAGACACACTCAGTCGAGCTTCCCTGGAAGTTCTCCGGCTGCGCCCTCCAGGACCCCCCAGTTCCGCGGCCGCGCTCCCCGGCAAGGGCTCGCTCACCCGCGCAGCCGCCGGCGGGACGCAGTTGCCTCGCAGCCCCGGGCCGCGTCAAGCCGGGGCTGGCCACACGGCCCCGCGCCCCGCGCCCCGCGCCCCGCGCCCGCGCCCCGCGCCCCGCGCCCCGCCGCGCCCCGCGCCCCGCGCCCCGCGCCCGCGCGCCGCTCCATCGGCCCTCTGCGCGCGGGGCCGCGGCCGTGCACCCCGCAGGCTGGCTCCGCCGTGGGAGAGCAGCGGCCCCGGCGCACCCCGCGGGTTCTCACGGCCGGGCTGCGCCAGCACAGCCGCCGGCGCCGCGCGGCCGCTCGCCCACCCCCGCCAGTCCCTTCCCGCGGGCGCCGCAGGTCCCCCGGGCCCTGCGCCTGCCCCTGCGCGTCGTCTCCTTTGCCCCCTCGCTCCTCCCCAGCGTGGGAACCGGGTCCCGGCCCCCCGCGGCTGGGCAGCTGGGAGCCGCTGGCAGGCAGGCGGCCGGGGAGTGGGGGCTGGGGGCGAAGGGTGAGCGCAGACCCGGGCCCCGGGGAGGGGGCGCCCCTCTGGGGAGGCGCGCCCCGCGTGGGTTCGCGGCGACCACTTACCCGGCGGCTTCCCAGACCTCGGCGCTGCGTTTCCGGCTCTGCAGCAGCTCCGGGGCGCGCCTCTCCAAGTCGCACTGCGAAGGCAGAAAGAGTGGGCGTCGGGGGCGGGAGGCCGTGGGCGGCCGAGGGGCCCCGCAGTGGCACCTGTGGGTCCGGGCGCCGGTGCGCGCGCGGCCGCGGCTCCGGAACTTGGACCGGCTCGCGTCTACCTGCTCAACAGGCGGGACCGCCTCGCGCGCCCGGCTCCCCGCGCCGCCGCGAAGCAGACAGCCCCGCTCCCGTCCCGCCCTGGGTCTCGCGTCTCCTCTCCGATGACCCCACAGGATCCCTCGCCGTCCCTTTCCCTATTGCACCGACTTCTGTTCAGGGTCCCTCCCCCTCCCAGCACCCAAAGACTGAACAGAAAGTAGCGGGTAACACGCACCATGGCGAGGGCGCTAGGGTCCCGGGTCCTCCATTGGCCCAGGCGCTCCCTCCCAGGCAGGTACCGGTCGCCCGGGGCGGCTCCCCGCGGCTCTTTCTTCCTCGGGTCTGGCGCAGGGAAAGCGCAGGGCGACCGCTCAGAGACCTGCTGGTGCAGAGCTGGCTCTGGGGAGTCCCACCCACTCCGCCAGGGCGAGGGAACTGAGTCCTGGCCCCTCCAGCCGCCCAATCGCCATCCCAGCAGTTCCCGAGTGGAGCAGACACCCGGGACGGGGAAGAGATAGGAAAAGGGCGAACGCGCTCAAGGAAGATTTGGCAAATTAAAAAAAAATGGAAAGAAACGTTTCCACTATGCACTGTTGGGGAAAACCCTAGCGTTCCATAGTCCAAAACCGCAGCATTGAGACTGGAGGGTTGATACTGGCACGGATGGTCTTCAAGTTTTAAGTCAATCTGTTCCTTTACAAAATCGATCCTATGGCTACAGAGCATGTATATCTTTCCAGTGAGGTCATGCTTCTGCTTGGTGCATTTAGGTCTGTTTTGTGGTTCCGTTTTGTTGCGTGTGGATGTGTGCACGTGCGTGCATGTGTCTGCCAGAACAGAAAATCAAGTTTTCCTATTCATGATTTTGACCCACCTTTATGACTTAAAAAATAGTCTCATTATTCTGTTTCAATGTGAAATCACAATTAAGCATGATTATTGTGACTTCTTCAAACCCAGCAATTTGGAGACAAAATTTTCCCGAACATCTCCACATTTCTCCCCAAACCCACCAAATACTCTGGTCCCATTGTGGACTCATCACAATTGCACATTTTTCTCCCATTCTTGCCTGCTATGGGTGCTCTCCTCATGACAAACATGTCAGAGTAAGCACACACACACAAAATTTTAAATAAGATAAAAGGGACATTTTAATAAACTTTGCCTTGAATGGGGGAAGTTCAGAGGTACAAGCACATGAACTTCTGTGCCTCTGCCATCTCTGAAATTTCGTCTTCCTTGATTACCAACCCACGATAATCTCTTAGGGCATTAGGGCTTTTGTCCTCGGTGCTTAGAATTTAACACCTAGAAGAAAAAATAAAAAGAAATACCTAATAATGCATAATTAAATGGGACCTCATACCACGAAAAAGTTACATGTCATACTATGAAAGCTCAGAGGAAAAAGAGCTGTGTTCTTCCTGGAGAAATACTTGATCATGGAGCAGCATTATAGAATTAAGCCTTATAAGACTAGTCCTATTTGGAAAAAGATGAGATAAGAGCTTTGTTTATTATTGTTTTTTCCAAGGAGAAGAAAACTTATAAACATAGACACAGAAGGGGGGGGGGCAGCATGACACCAGCACTGGAGAAACAGGGGATAGAGCATTAGGCGGAAATGTGAAATGCATAAATAAAAAGCAAAGGAAGATAAAGTGGGAAGATCAGCTGGGTCCACAGGGCCTCACTGGTCTGTCCTCTAGCTGTTATGCATCATAAATTTGTATAAAAATGGTTTTGTTGTCCTCTACTGGGACTCTTGTCGATATTGCTTTCCTCTTGGAACAAAACCCATTAATTTCTGCCTTTATCATCTTCAAACTACAGCACATCAAACTCCTTAATAAGTACTGTATTTAACCTTAGTTAATTCTACCATGGGTTACTCAGTCTTATCTAGTATCCAGGCTAGAGGGTGTTTGGTGTTCCCCTTCTGCTATCCTTTAAGAGTACCAGGCAGTGGGGTAAGTGGGGAAAGCAATTAATCTAGACTTAAGAGTGGACGGTGGCCATTGGTTACACTATGTACCAAATCACAAAAACTTGTACAACACAAGAAAGATAAGAAGAACATTATTATCCATTTTTTTCACTATATATTTTTTCTTTTAAGATTACATACATTCAATTTGTTTTCAACATACCTACTTAGATAAATTTTATTTATCGGCAATGCCTCAAAATGTCTCATTGGGAACGTAAAGTTTTGATTAGGAAAAACGGATTATGTGATGGTGGATGCCCTGACTTTCCAATCCTGGCAAAGACATTCATGAAGTAGCTTGGACTTTAAGAGATTTCATCGATAACAGAAATGTTGTTCACACTCATTTTTCAAAACAGATATGTTTGTCAGCGGGAAATAGAATGGTTAGCCTCTGCTTACCATTCCCCCTGCCCAAAGATGTCCATGTCCTAATCCTCGAAACCTGTGAAAGCATCATTGCATAGCACATGGAAAGGGAGACTCAAGATTACACATAGAGAGGCTGTTAAGGTTGCATGTAGAATAAAGAATGCTAATGACTGACTTTGAGATGGGAAGATTAGCCTGGATTATCTGTGTGGATCCAATGCAGTCAAGAAGGAATATCTTTCCATTTTTCAGTGTCTGTTCTCTTCTTTTATTTATTTTAACAATGTCTAGTAATCAGACATCTTCATGTATTAAAAGAATTAATATTGTTAAAATAGCGATCTTTCCCAAAGTAATAGGCAGATTTATTGCAATCCCTATGAAAGTTTCAATGCCATTCTTCAAAGAAATAAACAAAAACTACTGAAATTCATATGGGATCACAGAATAACCTAAATAATTATCAGGAAAAAAAAAAAAGTTATACGCTCCCAGTCTTCAGCCTTTACTATAAGGTGATAGTAAATCAAACAGTATGTTATTGGAATAAAAGTAGACATATAGAACATTGGAATGGATCCGAGAGCCCAGAAGTAAACCTACACTTATTGGGACAATTAATTTACAACAAAGGGGCCAAATGTATACAGTGGAGAGGAAAAAAAATCTCTTCAACAAGGGGAGACTGGGAAAACTGGACAGCCACGTGGAAAAGAATGAACTAGACTGCTATCCCACACCACATACAAAAACTAATTCAAAGATTAGTGGATTAAAACATGGATATAATACCTGAAACTATAAAATATATAGAAGGAAACATAGACAAAAGATTCTCTGACCACAACTGGCTTCAGTGATGTCTTTGCAAATTCAACACCAAAAACAATGGAAACAAAAGCAAAAATAAAGAATGGACCAGCATCAAATTTAAAAAGCATCTGCACAACAAAAGAAACTATCATTAAAATGAAAAGACACCCTACTGAATGGAGAAAATACTTGCACATAATACATGTGAAAAGGGGTTAATATCCAAGGTCTATGTAAATCTCATGCAAGTCAACAATAACAAAAACAAAATCAAATAACCCAATGATGACAATCAAAAGTGGGCAAAAGAGCTAGACACCACTAAAGAAGGCATACAGATGGCCAATAGGCACAAAATGAAAAAAAAAATGCTCATCATCCCCTTTATTAGGGAAATGCAAATTGAAACTACAATGAGATACCATCTCTATGCCTGTGAGAACGACACCTCCAGAAACAAGTGTTGGTCCCTAAAATGAATAGATGAAAGAATAAATACTGAAGAACAGATTTGAAAAACTGTTCAATGTTATTACTGAGTGTAACTATGTAATTCTATCTAAAGATATTTCACATGAGTAAAAATTAAAAAGTTAAAAAAAATAGTTCAACCACCCAAAGATAGGTTGCATATAAAAATAAAAGTCCAGAGCTATAGTTCAGCTCTCAATATAACTTAGCTCAAAACACATGTATTTTCAATTTTGCATTTTCTTTTCAATTTTGCAAATCTTACTTTTGTAAGATTTCTAACTTTCCCCAAAGTAATTGCCCATATAAAGGTGGATTCTGTTTTCTGTATCTTTGACTTTACTATTTTTTTTTCCAATAGAAAAACTAATGCCAGCTGCCAACCCAGAAATTATTTAGGCTATTTATAATGGCCTCAAATTGGAAGCAACTCAAATGTTCAGTCACAGATGAGTGGAGGAACAAATTTTTGTGCATCCATGTAACAGAATACTACTCAGCGACTGAAAAGAAGAACCAATAATACACCCAACAGCAGGGTGACTCGTAGATGATGCTATGCGTGATTCCATTTACATGAAATTCTTGAAAAGGCAAAACTAATCATAATGACAGAGGTCAGATTAATGATGGTCTGGACTGAGCCAGGGCAGGGAATTGCCAGCATAGGAGCACGGAGGATTTTTTTGGTTGGTTAATGGAAATGTTTTATCTCATGATTGTGGTGGTGGTTAAGAGAGTACATTTATCACACATTCATCAAATGTCATCAAACTAAAATGGGTGCATTTATCACATGTAAATTTATTTTAATAGTTTTTAATAAAATAATAAATTTTAATAAAATAAGAGCTCAAAGCAAAACAAAGTTATTAACAGAAAGATGAGTGAATTCATTTCTGGCATTCTAACATTTTAATTGTCCAGAGCAAATCATAACAGTTAACAATGTAGGATATAAACTATGAGTCAGACACTGTTCTCAGCACTATATGCACCAGGTCATTGGTTCCCCTAGCAAGCCTTCCAGGTAAACACTACTATATCTGCTTTAACATATAAGAAGACTGTGCTAACACTGCGAAAATTGAGCTATTATTAAATCTGCTTCACATATGAGAAAATTCACAGCTAGCAAGTGACAAAAGCAGGACTCAGTCTCAGGCCATCTGGCTCATCTGAATCACTCTGGTCATTCTGACAAGGGCATATTAATTATACAAAATAAAGATACTTATTAAACCAGATCCTTTGAGTGCTGAGAAGCCCCAGAAACCTGCATTTTAACAAGCATCCGTAGATCATTCTGGTGGTTGAGGATCACACTCGGAATCACAAAATATTTCAAGGTAGCAAAATTGTCTCATTGAAGAAGCTCTGGGATAGGTGCACGTGGGCGACACCGCCATGGGCTCGAGTTCTCAACACTTGCACTTCAGATTGTTTATGATTCACTTATTTTCTTGCTGGATATTAGTTTAAGCTGCCAAGTGAACAGGGGAGAACTTGAAATTCAACAGCTTTATTTCCTAATGGAATGATTAACCAAGTGCAGTGTGTTTCCCTTTAACTATGTATGTGGGGGAAGAGAGGGGAAGGAGGAGGTGAGGAGATTACTGAAGCAGATACTACAGTATTGGAAGTACATTCAATAATGTTACTTCTATAGAAGAAAATATTCAGAAAAAGGCTCCACTCAGATCATTTTCTCCCTATTGTTCAAATGCCATAAGGTGTACTTGTTCCTGCTTCCTTTCACGGCAAGGGGTGTTAAAAAAATAACCACTGATCAAATGAATGCCTTTTACAGAAAGCTAAAAAATCTTCAGCACCTTCCACTTCTAGAAATAGGCATATGAACAAGCCAGAGCTACTGTAGATGAAACTCTCAAGCCTCTTGCTCAGCGGAATGACAGCCTATTGCTTCAGGGGACTCCTGCAAAGCTGAGTTGAAACAGTATCTAGAACTCAAATTTACTACAATCTCACTTTTAGAAGAAAACATTTAATCTGCTACTTTACATGCACATGTTTATGTGAACATATGTATAGGGAGATCTATGGGGCCTTTAGATTTTAAGAGAAACATTGCCAGGCAATATGGCTTTCTGACCTGTAAGAGGAGAGCCATGTGTGTGAGAAAAATACTCGTAACTTTTCAATGAATAGCATAACAACGTAAAGTGTGCTTTAGTCAGCAAAATGCCCTCGCTCCATGTGCATATTGTCACAGTGAAAACTTTATCTGCTCCTTATGTCATGCTTTTTATATCTGAAATCTCTAAAATGTGATAGGAAATAACAACGTCTCACTAAGAAGTTCCCTGGAGAAAGGCCTGGTGATTTTCATGGTTTAACACAGGGCACTCACCAACCATGATGTGTTGCCCCATGAGTGAGTATGTGCCAGAAACACCTAAGGAATGGACCCAATTTTGCTTTCGTTTTTTTTACTTTACTGCAGAAGTTAAGATGCTGTCTCGGAGCTTCACTCCTAAGTGTGTCTCAGTCGTGTTTCTCCTAGAAAAGCAAAGCACGCAGGTCTCAAAGCTGGCAGTGCAGCCAAGGCATCCGAGGCGCCCTTAAATGATCATCTTGCCAGATGGGGCCAAAAGGCACATCCTGAGCCATGGTTTAAAAAAAGAAGCTCATTTAAGTTTCA